TGCTTGATATACATGCTATTAGAAATACTGTGTTATAAATTATTTTTGTTGTTTTTCTTTTCTAGATTTTTATCACTTTTGATATTTATTTTAAACATATAAAAAATGGATTACGTCGCTCGACCACAACGAATCTCTTGTCAATATGGTTACATTAGTACAATATCTGGCATATTGAAAACGATTGAATTTGTAAAAACAAACATATATATATTTATTTTTCTTTGTTAAAAAAAAAAAATTTTTAATTAATTTACTTTAGGTTTGTGATGCAGTTGCCTTAATATTGGGTGCAGCAGCACCAAGTATGGCTTTTAGTGGTCATAAAGGTTTTTTTACATTTGTTGCTGCATTAGCAATTATTATAACAACAATTTTGTTCGCATTGGCATTATTAAATATACAAGCTGTTTGTATGCCAGAGCGTTGGCTTTTTATTGTAAGTTATGTTTAATAAAAAAAAAAAAAATATGAAATTAAGCCATTCAATGTAAATTTAGGAAATGTTTTGGTGCGCATTTATTGCATTACTTTTCTTTATTGCAAGTATTGTCCTTGCAACAGTTGCAAAACATAATGGTGTTTATGGAGCTGCAGCAGTAAATGATCAGTTGAAAAGAGGAAAAAACAATTTTTGAAGTATTGATTCTTTGTTTTTATAGTTCTTCGGTTTTGCGGCTTTTGTAACTTATGTCGCTGATGCAATTAATCGTTTTCGACTACTTCGAGCTGGTCCACATGGTCGACATACAGAAACATATACATCAAATACAACAACAACAACGGTTACGCGTCAACAGCCAACTTATTAAAAACAAATGATCTGGTTTTAATGAAAGTATTTGAATGATCAACTGATAAGAAATTTTTAATCTGATTGCATCTGTTTTTTTTTCTCTTTACATTCCAACGGCAAGATTTCGTATATGTGGGTTTTTGTCATAATGATAGTCATAATGATCTGAATGTGAATTTATAGTGCAAATTTGTATATACATATACATGCTTATATTTACAAATTTTTGAGAATGAGAGTTTATGGTGTTGTTTTGTTTGTGTTATTGTTAACCTTCTTCTTACTATTATGGCAATAAAAAAAGAACTCATACAATTATTCAATATTTGTATGTATAGCAGAGAGTGAAAATGTGTTCAAAGTATTGTCACTCAGTAATCTTTAGATGTTATTTTATGCAATCAAGAAACTCAGAAATTATGTATCTTTCTTATTAACGATAATATCATTAAGCATTTGTGTCAAAAAATTATTCAAATAACTCCAACAAATTCTTTTTGGGGTGAGGTTGGGATTATTATCATTGACTTATTTGAGTATTTGACACTATTTAAATAATTATTATGTGCAAAGGTGAAGGATAAAAGTGTATTAGGTCTAAGTCTGAAAATTTTTCATTGATCCAATGGTTCATACTCTAAAAGTAACAGTCAATTATGATCTAATGATTATAAAATCAAAATTATAATGAAAAGTTATTACAATTTGTCGAGTACGTGAGTTTTTGTTTAATAAAGATTTTTTCTATCTTATAGCAATTCCAGTAAAGGGTAAAGGACATGAGGTTTTATAAATTCAAAAACTTTTTGATCTAGGTAAAATTGATGTCATATGTAGAAAGTTGTAGATGGTATGAAACAAAGATTTTTTAGATATTGATTATTAAGTGTTATATGAGATAAAATTATATGTGTATAATAGATGGTCTTAAAAGTAGTCTGAGTCTTAAATTAAAGTATCATTATCGCTTAGACCTAAATTGAGTTTATAAAAGAGAACTAAATATGTTGCATTGAAATGGACTAACTTAATGGTATTTTTGTTATTAATAAACTAATAATCATAAACACAAGCAAGGGTGATCAATTTCGTACTTAGGTAAGACGGATTTGAACCGAAGTCAAAGCAAGACTTCATCATTATTTATAGTAGTAGTTAAATGTGTATTGTATTTGTATATATTTGATTTTTGTATATAAATACTCTTGCACATCATCAAATGTAGTAGTTTGTGTCCATTCGATATTTGATTTCATTTGACAATGACAATTAGACAATGTTTTGAAGCTTAAGAAAAACCAACCTATGGCATATATAATAACAGTGATGTCTAGTGAACTCTATAAATTACAGTTAGTTAATAGTTAAATTGAATGTATAAGTTTTCAAGAAATTTAATAACTGAAAATCTTCAACATAAATATTGTGCTTAATAAAAAAAATTAAATTAAAAGGAATCATTAAAATTGAGTTAAACAATTTTTGAATTTCGATTTTATGGTCGCAAAGGAGAAGACACGATAATATCATTGTTAAAATTGCCTGAGAAATGTATAGATTGTGCTAGTAGCAGAGTACAAATAATAAATAAAAAGTATCTGACATCTTCGGAAGGATTGTTCTATTACGAGAGAAATCTTTCAACTTATAAATCGGTTTTGATTCGAGACTATATGTATTATATAGATTCAAGTGAACTATGAATATCCTGAAAAGAGTTCGCATCCTTAACCTATTGCTGCGAAGATACTACAATTCTACAGTAGCTTTTTAAATGAATGCTGTCTTTACTCTCAGGAATACGAGTACAACTCATTTTTGAATTTCAATTAGACACTTGGCATCGAGACATGCCCTTACAAGAGTAGTTTATTACGATATTTTAATCTCTCTTTCAATTTGCTTCGATTCTGACATAAGATCAGCGCATCTGCCGGTTTATCTGTAGATACAAGCAGCGACAAGATGTCAAACTTGGACAAAGAACCCATTATTATTAAAATTTGTCCCTGTGTAAAGCTTCAAGCCGAAAGTCAAACATGTGTTTTTCTAGACCACGGCATTCATTTAAAAGACGCTGTAAAGATCAAGGGGGAAACAGCAGACTTTGTAGTTGAAGGTAATTTACACTACTTAAACGCACTTCGAGCTACTTTAAAGTACTTTTCTGTAATTTTAAAGTACTCTCATATAATTTTAAAGTACTTTGATGTACTTTAAGTCTGCCGTTTCCCCCTTAGTAAAGATACAGTATCTCTGCAGTAATAAGCTAAGGATATGAATTCTTTTCAAGACATTCATAGCTCATTTGAATCTAAATAATGTACATAGGTCTCGACTCAAAAGAGATTTATCAGCTGAAGGACTTCCTCCGGTAAAACGAAAAAATTCATTAAGACTAAGAGTACGATTCAGATTCAGATCCCAAAAAAGCTAGATCAGCCATGTCTGGATCCAAAATTTTGCTTCTGACAAACTATTGTGTAGAACCTGCTAGAGCTTTCGAAAAATCATCTTCATCAAATGTTGTTTCTCGAACTAATGAAATTTTCATCCAAAATGGTTGGAACATTTGGATACATTCTGTATAAAGGGTGAATCATAAATAGCACTACAATGAAAAATTGAAATACTTCCACTTCAATTCACTCGAATGGACTAAGTTTTTGGTTAGGGTCAGAAGCTTACATAATGTTTCTTTTGTACGAATAACGTAAACAAACACTTTTGTCAAGTTATACTTTCAACCTTAGTAGACAGCTTTGACCTATTGTCAAGTAAGAAAAAAATATATATATGAGCATTTTGATAGATAGTTTTCAGCTTTTATTGAAGAGAACACGAAGAAGAAGATAAAACAAACTTAATAAATGATATAATATGGATGCACAAGCAGCAAGTTTTCAAAACTAACGGTAAATTTCCATGCTGAAATTCGTGTTCTGTGTTTGAAAATTCGAAACTTCATAATTTTTTGACTTTTAAACTTAAAATCTAAGTAACGTTGGAAACGGTATTTTGCTGTTTAGACTAAATATGAATTGTCTAAAATTATCGTTCATTGCAAGTAAGTAAGGTTGCGAAGCAAGAAATTGATCTTCACAAAAGATATCGACACGTCACTATATATACGTGATAATTAGATGCATATAATAACATTTCGATGTCGTTTATGAAGAGCAATGTTTTGCTATGTTTTACTTTGAAAAGACGTTTAGGTGTAATAAACGATAGTTTTGAATAATAAATACTGGCTTGAACGACAATATGTCTTTTCCTGAAAGATCTGGATAGCTCTGAAAATTTACTTTATCTACATCAATAAAGTAACATACAGCAAGTTCGTTTTGATTTTTTCTTATTATTATCTTAGAGGAACGATGCATACGTATTTTTCTTATTTGATAAGAGATAAAATTGCTTTCATGATACCAATAGTAATAAAACTTAATAGTAGTATCTGATTATCTTATTCGTATGAAAAAAAAAAGTTTAAATAAAATGATGCCATTCATCGAAAAATCATTGTATTTGATTAAATCAACGAGGAGATATTTTTTGTCATCATAGTACTATTTATGGTTTATCCTGTATTTAGTTATTCGTATAAAAAATATTTTCTTTTATTCAAATTATTGTCATATCAGTCTGTTCGTATATCTATCAGCATAGTTATCAACAGAATGGATATATTTTTCTGACATATATATATTATTAAACTATATGTGTAGTTTGATGAACTGCTTTTTTTTTCTTTTGTTCATGGTTTTCTTGTATATAAATAGAAGATCATTTTATTTTGTAGATCGAATTACAAAATAACAATTGAATAGCTTTACTAATATCTAGTCATATGTATTCCTAATGTAAACGTCATGTAGGCAAAGCGACATTTCTCTCTGTAAGAAAAATCTATTTCTTAGCAATTTAGAATAAGAGACTTTTCCTTGAGAATCTTTTTATATGCGTAAGTGACAAATACCACATGCTTTACATGTACTGGTTAATTGAAGAATAATACATTAGAACCAGATATATAGAATTTTTTCAGCTGGTTTTCTCATATCGAGTCGACAGCAATACTAACAATAACATTTATTCTCAAGTTTTCTTATTATCATAACGTCTTTGTGTTTTTTTCATCAAAACTTTTCTATTACGTATACAAAACCGTTGTAATATTACTAGAAATTTTGACTGAATAATGTCGAGTTCATCTCAATTACGATTTACAGCAATTGGTTCACTTGGTTCACTTGAATATGGAAAATCATTTATCAATCAACCACGTGGTATAGCTTATCGAGCATCAGATTCTTTATTATTTATTGCTGATTCAAAAAATGAACGTGTTGTTGCATTTACAGAAGATAATAAATTAGCTAAAATTATAAGTAATTATGGATGTAAAAATGGTTTAGCTGTCATGAACAATGATCAAATTGTAATGAGTGATGAATTACAAGTATTAATATTAAATAAAGATCTTCGTTTAATACGTACAATAGCTTGTGATGATGTTGATGCTGGTTTAACAAATTATCAAGGTATTTGTGTCGATAAAAATGATTTAATTTATGTATGTGATCAAACTAATCGACAAGTTAAAGTTTATGATCCAAAAACTGGAAATATTGTACGATTTTTTGGTAATAAAACATTGTTTAGTTCACTTGCTTATTGTGTATCAACAAATGAACATATTTATGTGACAGATCCACAAGGTTATATTAATTTATTGATGAAATTTTGCTTTTGTATTTTGTAACTATTATGTAGGTTCATGTATTCATAAATTTACACTTGACGGAACATTTGTTCAACGTTTTGGTAGTGAAACATCAGCAAATTTTCCTCAAGCACTTTCAAGTCCTCGTGGTATAACCGTATTTCCAAATACACGTCATTTATTAGTTGCTGATTCACATAATGATCGTTTAGTCTTTTTTAATGAAAATGGACAATATCAACAAATAATTACAAGTGGAATTGAATATCCGGAATCATTAGCAGTTAATAAGAAAGGAGATATTTTTGTTGCTATGAATGATCGTATTGGTGTATTTGCTCGACAAAAATAAAAAGACTACCTTTATTTGCCTCACTTCTAAAGTATATTATTCGATTGATGATTGAAATTTAATTACATAAATAAATAAACTATTACTCTCGAAATGAATTTTATTACTCTTTATAATCACCCTTAATTAGACAAACAAATAACTAGTTTAATTAATATAATTAGTGTGAATTGGACTTTTATAGTGAGTAGTTTGAACAAGCATTCGTTTTAAATAACTTTGTTGATTATAGAATATAAACTTCTTTGCAGTAATCGGCAGGTTTCATAGTAATTATGTGAGGTCTTCATCTCACTAGTTGTTTGTCTTTGGATATGTTTATTTGGAACGACTAAATAATGATATATACGATAACAAGAACAGAGGAATAATCCATGATATGGAAAGTTGTATATATAATGTACATAAAAGAAAAATCAAGAGAAGAATATGATAGCAATTATGGATTTAGGAAATGGCAAAGTGGCGGGTGCCTGCTAGGGGTACAATGTTTTCTTTTATTTTTCCTCAACTGATATGAAAAAAAGATCATATTAACTTGTATTGACTTCAAAAAACGCTTGTTATTCATAGCCGTCATCACATCGTTGGTTTCCTGAATTCACTACTGCATGAAAGAAATACCTAATATTATTAAATACTTATCTTTTATTGCATTTGATATTGATAAGTAATTAAGAAAACAACCTAATGATCTTTCGCATCTCGATGAGCTACTTCGTTTAACATTAAGCAGGAAACAAATGAGCTGTCATAGAAGTAAAAGCATAACAAATTAGAAACAAGCAAACTAGATTATTTTCTTTTTCTTTTTTTGAGTCATTGTTTGAGAAATATACAGAAAAAGATTTAATGTGAGTCTAACTCTGAGTATTACTGTTTTATTTTTCAAGTTAATATCCAAGAGTGATTGAAAAAGAAGAAGAAAAAAGTCTAATTTGTTGATTTTGTTTTTCCTTGTAGGTTAAGTCATTTGTCTTGATATTGATATCAGATGAAGTATCTTATCGAGATACGCACTGTCACTTGTATTTTGTAAATTGATTTTAAATATCAAAATTAAATAAAAGAAAAAGAGTATTTAATAACGTTAAATATCAATTCAACATTCTTATCAAGACAAAAACATGAAAGAAAAAACAATAGACCGAAAATAAAAATTTCCAATGCATAATTAAGACACGACAAACAAAAATAAAAAGAAGAAAAACAAACATATTGGTATAATTATGTTGATAAACAAGAAAATTCTTGTAACCGTATTTGAAGATACAGATCATAGCAGACAACTGTCTGTATAAATTATTCCTTTCAACATAAGTCGTTTGTTTCACATAAATTCTATTGTGTCAAGTTTCATTATTCTTTATTATCATTACTTATTGGTTCTATTGACATTTGAATATTATCGATAGCAACTCATATTTTTATTCTGCTAGTTCGTTGCTTATTATGTCAACATTATAACTTGCAGAAAAAAAGAAATTCAACAATCATGTTTTATATAGCTATGCTCATTTAAAAATCTAGTTTGTCAATGTAGATAATGAGAAAAAAAGAACATATATGCACGATGAAAACCAGAATATCGTATCAAACCATTTCGTAGTATGAAATTACATGTTGAAAACAAAATGTTTCAATTTCAAGTTTCAATGCCTTTTGTTCATATTGGTTTATTGATACTAATAAGGAGGCAATGTTGTTGATTATGGAAAATCAGAATATGGTTGTTCTTGTCACCTTAATCGATTGCCTGTTGGTATCAAGGAAAATGAATACTATGCTCATTTTCACAAAAAAAAAATATTCATTGTTTTTTTTATTGGCAAAATCAGCAAAAAATGGAACATGATCATCTTCGACTAGAGTTTAATTCTTTATAAGGATTACTCTTTGAACAAGTTCTTTTCTCATAAATATATTTAACAATATTTGTTCTTTCAGTTTACACCTAACTAAACTTAATTATTTCATTAGTTGAAATGTTATTGACGAATCAAAGAGACTCTAGGCCATAAACTATGTCTAAAGTGAAATTTTTAGCAAGATTAGACAATAACAAATTGTCTTTCCAAAACTGATATTTTCAAACGTCTGTTATTAGCTCAGAACGAGAGTTGTTGTTTTGCAATCATTTTGCGGTTTCCAAGAAGGTTTGTACCATTTGGTATTGACCTTTGGAGTTTTCATTCCGTTACAAAAAGATTTTTCCTTCTACATCCTGACGTATGTCACTAACAATGAATGAACTCAATTTTTTGAAAAGCCTAAGCATATTCAAGAGAAACTGTGTATAGAGATTCTGTAATCTGACGAGTCTTCTAGAAGATGCATTCTTTAGTTTTGAAAAAATAATTTTCGTACTGAAAGATTTATGAATGAAAAAACACGTGCAGTGACAACCTTTGTCTATTTTTGTGTCACGTCACTCACGCTGGCTTTTCAACAGTTACTTGGCCCAACCAAGAACTATAAGACTGAAGCTTTCATAGTATTGAGAGTAACTCAACATATATCTATTATGTAATAATTAGCTAAAAAGAAGTACTCAGATCGAGAGATATAAATATTTTTATTTTACATTGTCGAAGAATGAGATTATTCATATAGAACATATAGGACGTATTTATTATTCCATTTCTTGTAATTTGCGTAAATGTAATTCTTTCATTATGGATAATTTGTGATTTGCATGGGTAATTAGAGTCTACTTATAAATAAAATTATTCAGAATAATAATACTAAAGTAATTATAGTCTTGTACGTCATGAATTCTCTTCCTTTTTAAACAATCATAATTCTTGTAATACGGGCTATAAATAGAAAATTACTAAAAATAGATAATTAATATGAATATTCTTAAATGGTAAGTAAATTAAGAAAATTCAGTGATAAGAAGTGTTTTAGAAACGATTTCCAAGTAATTAGTCATATACCATTGTATTGGCCAACTGTAAAAATATTATGACTGTATATATAATCATTTGATCCGCTAAGCATTTTTCCATTTTCTTTCCTTTAATGTTAATAAATCATGTAAGCTATTATATTTATTTTAGATCTAACTGACATGTCTAGGACTCGTCGAATAGTTTCTCGGTAGGTCATATGCGTGCTGGATCATTACTTATTTGACAGTTGCTTGTCAATAGATTGTTACTCATTAGTAATAGAATAATTGACTTCTTGAATATCAATGACAATCACGTGATTTTTATTCAAATAATTTAGATTTTATACTGTTCAATAAAACATCTATTACTGTGTTGTATTGAAAAGAACATGTTGTTATCGTAATCATTGTAGAAAACATTTTGGATTATGATTTAAAAAACAATGTTTTACAGTAAACTAAAAACTAAGATCTTAATGTAATGGAAATTTTATATAGGCTGGCCGATTTTCAAAAGAGATCAGTTTTGGTCAGCTGTACTGCTAACTTATTTTGAAAAATATTTTGTATAATTTAGTTCTATATGAGATACTAATAAATTTCAAATTGTTACTAATTTTTACTGAATATCTGCTTGTTGATTTCTGATTTTAGACAAGAATAACCTATGACAAATAACAGACAATCAAAAATCAATGATTTACTTGTATGTATAATTAAAAATCGTTACCAGAAAAAGCAAATATCAAAGATAAAAAAAACAAGTAATGTTATTGTGTTGATAATAGTATTTTTTCAGTAATACTGACAGTGACTATTCGCCCCAACTTAATGACTTACTCTTACGATCAGTAGAGCCCATCGAGTTCAAAAATTTCTGACTCGTGCATAGTCAACGGGAAATCTTCAAACTCGGACCTGACTAGAAGGCGAGCGGGTCTGATGCTGTGTGTGAGATTCACCTGAAGGGCTTTCACAATCATCCTCACTTTTACCCACATCGTCATCTTTATATTATCCTGTGCCGTTATCCATCTCAAGAAAGTAAAATTTTGATTTCTTGTTTTATTTTTAGAATGATAAGACCTAAAAAAAATAGATAACTGCATTTATATTAGTTCGAATTCATCGGATGTTTTTTCAATGTGTAAAAATTTCGAAGAATAAATGTCTTGTATTTATCTTGTTGTAGATTAATCAGCTATTCTATGTGAAGCTCACTGAGCTATGAACTAGTTGGTACATAAATGTTCTAGTGAGAGGCTTTTCGAAATTCAACATCATAGCTCACGATTGTTTTTGAGGATGGAAGAGACTGAAAATTCGGCAGCATATGTCTTCGTATGAATATCTGTCAGAAGCAGAGTTCAAACCATCAAGTTTCCTTCTCTGTCACGTTATCTTACGAGACTGTAAAAAGTTTTCAGAGAAGAAAGTTCCTGTCTCTTTTTTACCTAATCGTTAACTCTGCTCAATATTTCTATCGAACTACTGAAAATAAATTATGTTTGTTTATCTTATTGAGTATAAAGTTTTCTTAACAAAAATCTTCCAAAGAAATAAATAAGATAAAATTACTCGTTGAAATTTCAAATTAATGCTTTTTTCAATGTTTCATATCACTTCATGAACATTGAAAATGTATCTCTTTCATATTTATCCATCCAACACAAATGTGTATGTTAACAAAGAAATTAAAAAAAAAGCCAATCCAGAAAACACACACGGGCGCACATAATAACAACAAATAGAAAAATGAAACGAGAACAATCGAACCATCTCAAGAAAAAAAAAACAACATGGACAAGTTGTTGCTAACAATATGAGCACATACGCGCAGTATCGGAGAAACAAATAGAAAGATACGAAAAAAGAAAAACAAGACCTCAACTCTTAATAAGAATATTCACTGCATATCTTTCCCTCTTATCGAGTGATTGAATAGAAAAGTGTGCGTTGAGAATGAAAAAAAAACCAAAGATTATCACGAAGGCTCCCGGGATAATGGTAAAGAAACTTGTCTATTAAAATGATGTTTTTTATTTTTTCGACGTTGCTGATATTGTTCATCAGTTATAAATGATTGTGATTTCGATAACGGTGA